TCCCAGGGGGTTTGTGGGGTGGATCTGGAATGTGACCCCAGCAGCAGTTGTCCTCACTTGCCCACAGGGGGGCCCAGTGTGAGAGTGACATACGTGACGTCACCAAGTGATCAGAGCCTCTCCCCGGGGACAGTTTGTCCCAGCTTGTGGCTGTTTGTCATTCTGCCTCCGACCTCAAGTTTAAAATTTCATTCATAAGTTTGGAATCACGAACTTGGCTGCTAGAGAAGGGCCCTTGGAGATCAGCTATTCTAGTCCAACCCCCTCATATTACAGATGGAAAAAAAAAAAACAACCCTGAGGTCCAAAGAGAGGCACACACATAGCAAGGTCATGGGGCAATTTTCTGTTAGAAGGAGGAGTTGGTTTGAAGTCAATTACAGATAATCTTGTTCTGTAATTAGCAAATATAGCTGAGCCTCTGAATCACTTGAGGAGCTCTTTATTTTTTTATTTTTAAAAATATATTTTATTGATTTTTTTACAGAGAGGGAGAGAGATAAAGAGTTAGAAACATCGACGAGAGAGAAACATCGATTAGCTGCCTCCTGCACAACCCCTACTGGGGATGTGCCTGCAACCAAGGTACATGCCCCCCACCCCCACCCCGACCCGGAATCGAAACTGGGACCTTTCAGTCCACAGGCTGTCGCTCCATCCACTGAGCCAAACCAGGTTCAGCTTGGGGAGCTCTTTAGATTTACAGATCTCTGCACTCTGCTTCTGAAGATTCAGACTTAGCTGGAATCTGCTATATGATCTGTTCCTTAGGTGATTCAGATGGAACAGGGCCATGGGCTGCCTTTGCAAGTTGAGTCCAATGCCCCTCTTTTGTTGTGTAGTTTGGTATTCTAAGAACCAGCACAGGACTTGCCTACGGTCACATGGCAAGTCAGTGTAGTCCTAGCTCAGGCTTTGTGGTCTGAACCCAAAGCTCGTTCTTCTTCTCCAGCTGCCTGGAGTCAAATTCTTAAAATGGACCACAGAGGCTGGCCAAGGGAGTTGCTGCGGTTTTCCCCAGCGTTTGTTTTCCGTGTTGCACCTTAATGAAAACACAGGACGATGCCCATTGCGAGGGCTAGGAATGGTGAGCATTTCAGAGCTGGCATCCTTCACGGAAAAGGAAACTGCAGTGGGCTGTCCTGCTGGCCCTTGGGGGTTTCCCAAAAACAAAATTCCAGGCTCTGAGGAGACCAGCACCAGCTCTCCAGCCTGCCTCAACTCTGGGCATTTTCCATTTCAGAAGAGTGGGCGGGGAGAGCCTTCCCTCTGTGGGAGGAGAGGGGGTGGACAGGGTCCAGCTGTGACGTCAGGCGACACACCTCAGGAAGAGCCGCATGTCCCAGCACCTGGCAGGAAGATGGAGCTGCTTTCAGGAACTAAGCTAAACCTCAAGCACTTTTCCTGAGCCTCTCCTCCCAATCACAAGCCTTACAAAGAGTAAACTGGGTCCTTCCACGAACGAACAAATAAGTGAGATGAGGACAGAGAGAGTAGGAGGAGAGAGAGAGCGAAGAGCGAGAGAGCGAGAGAGGCGATGACTAGAACGAAATGAAAGAAAACTTGACTGGATTATAGGAGAGAGACGGTCAGAGAGAAGCAAAGAGAAGAGGGGAGAGAAACGAGATAGCAAGAGAGAGCTGAGAGGAGAATGAGAAAGGCGCGAGAGCGGTAAGAGGGAGGAGCAGGGAGAAGAGCAAGAAAGAGAAGAGAGAGAGAGAGAGAGAGAGAGAGTGGAAGAGAGAGAGAAACGAGAGACGAGAAAGCGAGAGGGAGAGAGCAAGAACGAGAGAGAGATGAGAGCAAGAGTGAGGCGAAGACGAGCGAGAGAGGCAGAGGAGAGAGCTAGCCTAGATATGGATCGCTCGATAGCGCTCGAGTCCGAATAATTACTCCAGCACGGCCTTATCTCTCTCTCTTCTATCTCTCTCTCTCTATATCTCTTCGTCTTCCTCTCTCTCTCTCTCTCCTCTCTCTCTCTCTCTCTCTCTCTCTCTCTCTCTTTTCCCCTTTCTTCCTTTCTCTCTCCCTTCCTTTCTCCCTCCCTCCCTCCTTCTTTCTTTCCCTTTCTTTCTTTCTTTCTTTCTTTCTTTCTTTCTTTTTTCCCTTTTCTTCTGGAAACATATCTTGGTGTTTGGAGTCAGATGTCATGGGTTTGAACCCTAGCTCAGCTTCCTAAGAGCTTCTAATCTAGGTAGAGTCACCCCCTTTCTGAGCCTCAGTTTTTACTTTTCTAAAGTAAGATAATATCTATCTTCTTGGATTGTGAGGATGAAACAAGATCATGTAGGTGCTTAAAAAGATGTTTTCTCAGAAACACTAGGTCCTGTAATTAGGGGCCAGAAGGATTTGACTATATGCAGGGTGTGCAAAAGTGGGTTTACAGTTGTGAGTACACTAAACACTGTTTATTCTTTGTGGTTTTATTACTCTTATTAACCTAGTTTTGCCCCACCCCTTAATTTCCAGTGAAACAATTTTACTTGACACATAAAAGCACACATGTTTCTGTCACATAGGAGGGGGCGGCATTAGGATCCTGGTTTCTACGATAAGATTCTTGGGAAATGAATTAGAAAGAGAGCAAGATATAGCCTGGAAAGCAGACCATTACGGTTGCTGGGAAGCTATAAAGGATGGGAGGATCTTATTCAAATGAGTGTACATTTAACAGAGGTCAAGGATGAAGAGCATGATGTAAGCAGTGACGCTGGCATCTCTTTCCACAGCAAAGACTCACTCCCCAGATGGAGGCAGCCGGATGAATTTGGCAATTCTGACTGTAGCAACATACTGTGACTCCTCTGTTCTCTCTCTCTCTGGATTTCCAGTTCAGTCACCCTTTTCCCTGAAGAGGAAAAGCAGGGTCTAGGTCATGGGCACTGCTCCATGTTCCATGAAGCTGGCCAGGTTTATGTCCCGTTCTGACAAGCCTGCACACTCACGGGTGTTCAGGGTGATGTGGACCTAGTTGTACACATTAAACCATTCCGGATGGTGGTCCAGTGTCTCGGCCTGCAGGGCCACTCCTGTTATGAAGCCAAAAGCCCTTCTGAAGGTTTTGAAATGGAACCGCTTGAAGATGACACTCGGCTTTCTGCCCTCAGGAGAGGGCAGCTAGCCCCTCTCCTCAGCACTAAGCCCCTGTGCTTTGCAAGCCAACAAGGTGAGCAGCAGGTGGCGATAGAGAGGGTGAGCGCAGCAACAGGTACGCCCACCGCTGTATTTTTATTGAACTGAACTGAGGCACTTAAGAGGTTGATTGAGCTGGAAAGTCCCTCAGAAATCTCCGGGCCTTCATAACTTCCAAACTGGAGTCTAAGTGAACTGTTTACAGTAGTTCCAAACGATAAGGGAAATCACATACTTTCTCATGATAAAGTCTCAGGTTTCTTTACTTTTGTCTGGACTTGTATAACCCAAGGTGATAATATGGTTATCACATGCTGTTCAGAAGTTCTGATTGGTAGTTACATGAGTCTTTGGTACTTTTTTCTAAATGGGAAAATAATTAGCAGAGGGTAGATGAAGTGTTGGAAAACATTACTGTCTAACTCCCCATTCCATAAGCAGGGAAGCTAAGGTTAAAGAGGGAAGTGGCTTGCTAGTCCTGAAGCTCGCACCGCTGGTTGGAAAACCCAGGGTGCCTTCCTGGAACCAGTTACTGCCCTTCTTTTCACGGGGGAGGGGCTATTATCCATGAAGTTAAGGGGTTTTGTTCTGCTGGTGCAGGAATAAAGTGACTCATCAGCTTGCTGTTGCCCTTTCTCTGTTCTTGACTCATTCAGCAAATATTTACAGACTGTCCGTAACAGTATTTGGGCTCAGAAGAGAAGCCTGAGAGAAAACAGGCGGCAAGCAGTCAGGATCTGCTCCCAGGACCTTCAGGACTTCTGAACCTCTTGTGTGTGTTTTGTGTGTGTGTGTGTGTGTGTGTGTGTGTTTTCTCATTATAAATACGAATACGGATACAAGATAAAACTCCCACTACTCTGCCTTCTAATGAAGCTTTGTCTGAGGGCAGGGGCTCTCTTGCAGTATGAATCCAAACCTCACTGGAACTAAGTAGGTATCAAATCAACGCTGTGGTGCTGGCAACTTCTGAATTCGAATCCCCAGGGCCACTCGCTCACGTCCCTGACACAGACAGCAGTATGTTGCTCTCCTCACTGACCCTCAGGTCACTCATCTGTGGGACGCGAACCATGGCAAAATCGTCGGCGGGAGAGCTCGCAGATTCATTACAAATATCCCAGACTTTAAGGGGAAGAAAATGCTGGAAATCGTTGCTAAAGAGAGTCAACATTTCCTTGCCCTTGACTACCCCTCTTTCTTCTCCTGCCTGGTTGCTCTCTTTTTCTTCAAAATCCCCCTCTAGAGGGCACGCAAGCTCTACGATTCTCTGGCCTCACTTCCGACCGCCGGCACGCTTCACTGCTTCGCTTTACGCATGCGCACGCCCTCGCTGCCCGGCTCCGCCGGGGCCCGCACCCACCGCGCCTGCGCAGCCGAAGCCCCGCCCCTCCGCCGCTGTCCCCGGAAACGCTTCCTTCCTACGCAGCCGCCGCCGCAGCCCGGGTCGCAGGAGTTTTGCCTCTCTAGGCTGGTGGGGCCTCTCCTCCATGGTCCTGTCTGTCAGGAGTGTTTCGGGGGCCGGCCGGTGAGGCAGGCTGGGCCGCGCTCGGACCTTTGGATCCTCGAATCGGTCACCGGTGAGTGAACCCCGAGGGGGCTGGAATACGGGAGGGGCCCGGGCAGCCGGACGGGCACGGTCCCTCCTCACTCTGGGAATGGGTCTGTCCGCTCCCCCCCCCCCTCTCCCGGAATGGGCTCGCCTCCTCCGTCCCAGCCCCTCCTCCCGGGCTGGGTGGCGTTGCCATGGTAACGGCCGGCTGGCTGAGGCTCGGCGTGTGTCCCGGCAGGTGCCGGGGCGCCCTGGAGCCCATGGCGAGGCCGCTCTGACTCGGACCCCCGGCGGAGGCCGGCCCCCGCGGGCAGGCATGGCAGGCCAGTTCCGCAGCTACGTGTGGGACCCGGTGCTGATCCTGTCGCAGATCGTCCTCATGCAGAACATCTACTACGGCTCCCTGGGCCTGTGGCTGGCGCTGGTGGACTGGCTGTTGCGCGGCAGCCCCTCGCTGGACCAGATGTTCGACGCCGAGGTAGGGTCCGCAGACGAGCGCGGGTGGGTGCCTCGGCCTCCGGAGTGAGCTTTGTGGTCCGACACCACCGGGCTGGAGACCTGCCTGAGCTTGGAGGCCCCGGGCAGGGTCTCTCCTTACTGAGCCTTTGCTGCCCCATCTGTAAAATGGCATGGCGAGTGGCTGACAGCAGAGGCTGACTTAGTACAAAGGAAAGGGACTGGGTGTTATAACAAACAGGCCAGCGTCCTAGGCAACCTGATGCACCTCCTTTCCGACACTCTTGACTTCATTTCTCTGAGCCCCAAAATTCTCAGATGCCAAACTGGGGAGTGGGGACGGGTAGCAGTATTCAAGGAGATGTAATGGAAACTGCCTGGACATGGAAGTCAGGCCTCCGTTTAAGTTGTATTTACTAACTGTGTGACCTGGGGCAAGTATCATCGTATTTCTCAACCTCAGTTTTTCTGTTCGCAAAGTGATGAGACCAGTAGCAGAGAGGCCGTGAACTGCGGTACAAAGAGCCTGCATTTTTTATTCAAAAACTAGGTATCCAATCTCAGCCCAAACATACTAGCTCTGGGACTTTGGGGCAAGTTGTGTCACCTTTCTGAGCCTGTTTCCTTTCTGGAAACCGGACAGAATAATTCTCAGCAAAATATTATGAGGCCCAAAGGGGCCTAGGAACGTAGAAGAACTTTATGAAGTGCAATGGGGCCCTGGGAGATACTTGCATGGGAAAGGCAGCTGTGGTGTGTCGTAATGAGCCCTGTTCTCGGAGCCCTGAGATCTGGGACAGATTTCCTACTCCTGTTGCTTACTCTCTGTGTAGCCCTTGAGTAAGTTTTATTCAAAAAGAGGTAAGAATAACAACAACAAAAATAATGGCTTTGTGAGGTTGTTGTGTGGATAATATGAGATTATGGATTTCAAAGGCCTTTGTAGGCTGAAAGGGTTGTGCAGGTGTTTGGTCATCAGTAGTGTTTGACACTGTAGTGGAGGTTACACCTCTACAGGTGCCTAACTAGTCCCCTCTTAGGAGCCTCGGTCCTCCGGAGAAGGGCATGTGGGAATCGGAGGCTTTGTTGAAGACCATCTCATGCACACACAACCTGAGTTCTAGACCAGGGGTGGGCAAACCTTTTTTTAAAGGATGAACTAGTAAAGGTTTTAAGTCACAACTACCCAACTCTGCCATTGTCACTCAAAAGCTGCCTTAGACAATACTAAGTGAATAAGTGTGGCTGTGTTACAATAAAACTATTTACCAAAAGACGTGCCTGGCCCTGGGGCCGTAGTTCGCTGAACCCTGTTCTAGACCTTGCTCTTGCTGTTTACTTACTATATCACTTTAGGCAAGTTACTTAACTTCTCTGAGCTTTTATTTCTCCTTTGTAAGATGAGTTAATGACACCTTCCTGGATGCTGTGAGGGTTCAAATGAGATGCCATGATGGATGCTTGTGAGAGCACCTTGTGGGAAGGCTGCCATACAGATTAAGGTGCATATTGCCTTCTGTGCTCTGGGAAGAGTTCCTTAGGATGAGGTACTGGAGCCCTGGGGCTCTACCAAGTCACTTGCTTAGCCTGTTTCCATTTGTGATTCCCCCTCAGATCCTGGGCTTTTCCACCCCTTCAGGCCGGCTCTCCATGATGTCCTTCATCCTCAACGCCCTCACCTGGTGAGTATCACCAGTTTTGCTGTCCAGCTTTTGGGGTCTTAGCACTGGAACTAACTTCCTACATGTGGACATGAGACACGTTGGCATTTGTTCCTGGGGAGTGGGCTAGAGTGGGTGGCAGGGGCCAATTCTGGGACTGGCTCCATCACAGGGCTCCTTTCATCGCTGTTTGGACTTAGCTGGAAAGTTCTATGTCACTCTGTGCATGCTGCCTGTGGGACACCTTCTGTCTCAGTTCACTTCCTTGATGTGGAATGAGGTGAGGAAAGGAGCAGATTGGGAGTCAGGAGAACTGAGTTCTATTCTTGGTCCCTGTGACACTGACCATGTACTTCCCTCCTCTCTGGGCCTCGGGCTCCTCATCTGTACACTGAGGGGTTTCCCTGGTAAGGTCTAATGTCACCCCTGACCACTGCCATCCTCTTGAGAGGCAGGTTAACATAGTGATTAAGATCTCAGGCTCTGGAAGCAGACTCACCTGGCATTGAACCTCAGCTTTCCCACTAGTCTAGAGACTATAGATGTTAATCTGTCTAAGCCTCAGTTTTGTCTTTAGTAAAATTAGGCTAATAATATTACTCATTTCATAGTTATAAGGATTAAATGAGCTAATTCATGGAAGTACTTAGAACAGTACCTTGCATATTACTGCTCTTGATCTGGAGGTTGGAAACTGGTGGGTTGACTCCAGTTTGGCTTCCAGATAGGTTGTTTGGCTTACACAGTTGTCAGTACATGCATGGTGTTTAGAACATTTTCCCACTTAGTTAAACGGATATATTAAAAAATCCAGATTTCTGGCTTCTCTTGAAAAATGAGAGGATTGATTTTAAGCCATACTTCTAGCGTGCTGATGTACCCATGCTGTAAGTAGCACTTGTCCCCACTTTAGATGGAGTGTGTATGCTTCAGGGCATTACAGTGCTCACCAATTCCTGGGACTCCCCTGAGTGACAGTTGCCATTTGTCATCAACCTCGTCTTTTGCTGTTCTTCTACCCAGCCTGACTCACTCTCAGCATTACCTGCCAGGTTCCTCTAGCATTTAATAATGTAATCCTTGCTTCACACTTACCTCGCTTGCTTCTGATCTCTATGCTGTCATCCTAATTGTCCCCACTCCCCAAATAACCTAACGAAGGCCAGGACAACCCAGTGACAACTCACTGCTGTCCTCTCCCCACAGTGCCCTGGGCTTGCTGTACTTCATCCGGCGAGGGAAGCAGTGTCTGGATTTCACTGTCACTGTCCATTTCTTTCACCTCCTGGGCTGCTGGTTCTACAGCTCCCGTTTCCCCTCGGCGCTGACCTGGTGGCTGGTCCAAGCCGTGTGCATTGCGCTCATGGCTGTCATCGGGGAGTACCTGTGCATGCGGACGGAGCTCAAGGAGATCCCCCTCAACTCAGCCCCTAAATCCAATGTCTAGAAATGGGTTCTTTGGACACCCCACTGGGCAGTTGGCCCCCCAACGCATTGGGCTGCTCAGACTCTCCAGATGAGGTCCAGCCCAGGTCTGAGAGGAACCCTGGAAATGTGAAGTCTGTTGGTGTGGGGAGATAGCGAGGCCCTGTCGAGAAGGCAGGTAGCAGCCAGGATCAGAGCTGCAAGATTGGCCTCCGTCTGCTGAAGCCTTGGGATCCAGGAGGTCAGCAAAGGGATCTGACCTTGGAATCCGGGAGGTCAGCGAGGGGACCTCTTTCAGGGTAATAACAGAATTGGAACCATGTCACTCTTGAGCCATCATACCTGTCACCAGCCTGTTATTTAAAAAAAAAAAAAAAAATCAAGGATATCTGATTGGAGCATACCACTCTTCTAGTCATCTCTCTTGTCTCCTTGGGACAGTGTTATCTTGGTCATGTTGTTGCAGCTTTTCTGTTTGGAGAAACGCTTGATGTCTGGATTCATAACCCCAGAAAAAGATGTAGGTTCAAAATATTAGGCTGCTATCAGGGAGAGGACAGCAGATGGAGGCAAACACAAGGAAAATGCACAACTTGTGTTCTGTTGTGCGCATCTGTGTGCACCCATGAACTTATGACTAACTTTCAATTTTCTCTACTGGGTACCCCCCTGCTGCCAGCTTCCAACATAGCAGGCTCTAGGACCCAGAGAAGAGTCCCGGCATCGCTCTCTAAACCTAACCCTAACTTATTTGGAATTCTCAGTGAGACGGGCATGATGGGTGCCCAGAGATGGGAGGCCCAACCTTCCAGCTTGACCTGTAATGACAGGGCTGAGGGAGATAGGAATTTGCTGTTAAGATTTTTCTTGGGAGTGGAGTATCCTCTGTGAGGGGCTGCAGCTGTCCTTCCTATGTACGTAATACCGTTTTTTCCCCACAGTTCTGCCTGTACTTGGTAATGCCATGGTTGGGACTGTGAGAGAGCAGCATAGCCAGGCAAGGGAGCTGTATGGAAAGAATTACTAGTTCACCTCCTGGACCCAGATTGTTCCTCTATTTGGTTAAAATACTAAGTGCAGGGAACTCCTATGTCCCGCCCCCTCCACCTCAGGCTCCTCTGCTACACCTTAGGTGAACTGCCATGACTCCCAGGACTCCTTTCTCATTTGCTGGCGATTTCTGAACATGTCCAGGAACACTGGTCTAGACCCACTTCTGCATTGAAACCATTGGTGTTCCTCTTTGGATCTCTCAAGTCTGCCCAAGAGAGCTGTCAGTTTTCAGATTCTGGTGTTAGGGTTACAAAGGTGAGTTTGCATCCCCCAGGAAGCCTTTCTAGCTTCCTGGCCCAGCCCTCTAGAGGAGGGCATTGAGGCAGACAAGATGAACGTTTTAAGAGAGAATGTGCCTGGGCAGAGGCTGGGAAAGTGCAAGAGTGAGCACCTCCCTAACTTAGCCAGGGTGCTCTGCCTAAGCTGGGAGGAAGCTACCTGGCAATAGTATTCTAATCCTGGCTACATGGTCCAGGAGGCAAGGCCCGCTGAGATGACTTCCCTAGTTGGTGGGTTTCCTTCCAGACACACAGACTCTAAAGGCAAGTGACTAACTTTCAGAAAGGCAGCACATTCATGTGGCTGGCTCCTTTGGTCAGCTGTGGTGGCCTCTCCCGCTGTGATGGCGCACTTCGGGGGGGTTTCCTTCGAGAGCTTGTGCCGTTCTGCATATTTCCTGTGACGGGAAATCTCTGCCCCTTGAGTGTTAATTTGATTTTTGGATAAGATATGTGACCTCAATGAGATTTATTTTTCCAGAGAGAATTGGGCAATGGCAGTGATGTCATTTTAGAAATAAAAAAGTCTATTGAGTGCTTAATAGATGTACAACAGTGGGCTAAGTGTTTTACATCTTCCTGCTCATTTAGTCTTCAAGGCGACTTCCTGAAATAGGAAATATCTTCTGTATTTTACAGATAGGAAACTAAGGAATACACGTTAGGAGCTGGCAGAGCCAGGATTTGGGCTTCAGTAGTGACATTAATACACTCATTCTGAAGACTTTAATAGTTAAAGGCTGCATAAATTCTTATTGGTTAAATAATCTATCACCTTATAATCATACCTCCTTACCCTACTGTACTGTTTTCTGTTTTGTTTTTAAATATATTTTTATTGATTTCAGAGAGGAAGGGAGAAGGAAAGAGAGAGAGAAATTGATAGGCTACCTCCTACACATCCCACACTGGGTATTGAGCCCAAAACCCAGTCATGTGCCCTGACCTGGAATCAAACTGTGACCTCCTGGTTCATAGGTTGACACTTAACCACTGAGCAACACCAGCCGGGACCTATTGTACTGTTTTAAATACTAAGAATGTATAGTGCTTTGTAAACATTTCTAGCTTTCTAAGAAAAACTGATATATATTAAAAAAAAGAAAAAGAAAAACATATACATTAAATACGGCCACAGATTTCCAAGTAAACAGAGGAATGTAGGAAATGTTTTTCTTTCCAAGGATAAAGGAAAGTTGTATCCACTCCACCACTGAGTTGGTGTATCTCTTGACTTTCTAGGGTCTGAAGCCTGGACCTTCTTTTATCCTACCCACTACTACCTAAACTCGAGCTATTTGGAGAGAAGTGGAGACTAATGAGTGGCAGGTGCTCAGAATAGTTTATAACCCACGAGAAGGATGGGAAAGGAGGAAGAGGTGGTACCTCCGAGGCTGCCTCTAACTTCTAGTTCTAGGCACCTGTCCGGCTCAGAGCCAAATGGGCCAGGTGGCAGTCAGTAGGCAGCAGGGATGGGTGGGAAGCTCCAGGTCCCCATGAGTCCTCAGGAGCACGCAGCTCCAATAGGTGCCCTGGAAGCAGTTTCTTAGACCTTAGACTTTCCTCAGTGACTCTCAGCTCAGGCAGCTTCCTCTGGCAGTCACAGAGGCAGGCAGTGTGCAGTGAGGAACTCCTGCCCAGCGACCACAGAGCCTCCGGAGCTGTGGGTGGGGCAGATTCAAGGCACGAGAGCGGCTTCTCTGGAGAGGGACTTAAAAGCCACTGTGGTGTTTGAGGTTTTCTATAGGAAATTAGGGAAGGGGGTGCAAACAGCATTGGGATGAGGGGGTAGACCGAGATGAGGGTTTCAGTCCCTGCCCTGGGCAAGTCAAAATTCTAGGAGTCTAGTGGAAGACTTTAGAGAGCTTAATGCATTGCAGAGTTAAATTTTTAGCTGTGAGACTGGATAAGCCACTTAACCTTTCCCTACCTTGGTTTCTTCATTTGTCAGCCAAGGATGATAATAGTACTTCCCTGGTGGTTGTGAGGATTCACCGAGTCTCGTGTAAAACACTCAGCACTGGCCTGGCGCTTATAGGAAGTGGTTCATAATATGTCCTTTATAGTTTTGCCCCCCTGCCCGCCCCTACCCCCAGTTGTACAGAGAACACACCTTTCTTCTGAGCCAGCGAGTGTTGAGCTCCTATGTGCCGTGCACTGCAGTGACACGTACTCTCACTTAATGAAAGAGAGAGGCACCGTTATTTTCCTCATTTTACAGACAAATTGAAGATAAGGAGGAAATTGAGAGTAACAGCCAGGCCTGTCTGCTTCTATAGCTTCATATTTTCACGTTCCAGTTAACATTTGAGTGGTACATGATTCAGCTAGGGAGAGGGAAGTCTCAGGAATCCAGATGCCACCTTAGGAAAAGGTTGTGAATGTGAACGTAGGATTGGCTTTTTAACAAGCTGCAGGATCCTTTAGTGGGCAGTGCGGCAGCTGAGAAACGGGGCCAGTACTGGCCTTGGGGCTTTATTATGATGCAAGGCCAGGGAGAAGGCATGGAAAAAAGGCCAAACATTTGTTCATTACCCCTCAAGCTGGCCTTGATCACATCAAGCCTGATTTGCTCAAAGCCCTCTGGAATGGATATTAGTATTCCTATTTAATAGACAGGTGAAATAGCCTCAGAGAGGTCATGTGACTTGTTAAAAAGTCACCCAAAACTTTAATCCCCCTCTTTGTCTATTAACTCTTAGGGAGCCATTTCTGGGGTGGCTTCTGATCCCAAATCAGGATCTGAGCCAGAAGAGAAGCCTCAGATTGAAGTGGTTAAACAAGGGGATGGTGGAGTGGGGTGACCCCCCAATTGTGGGATTGTGGCAGGGCAGGCTGCCTGAGGACCATGTGATACTGCAGGTGGGATAAGGCTGGAAAAGGTGCACCTGCGAGGAGTCACCCAGAGGCCTGCATCCTTCATCACCTGGGTGCCCTGGGCACCTTAGAGCCCAGCCTGGGCTCACTGGCTCCTGTCTACTTCATGGCATTCCCTGTGGGCAGCTCTGGCTCCCTTGGGGCAAAGCCAAAGCTGCCAATCTTTTCAGGCCCCCAGTTGGGGTTCCCTGGTTAGGCTCCCACAAAGGATAGTTCAGGTCCCATCCTTGCCCTCCCCCCATTTTTGGTTGGGAGAACACTGTCCTGACCAGTGGCCTGGTGAGAACACAAGACAGAAGTTCACAGATGGTGGCACGAATGAATGGAAAGTGTTCGGGAGGAAAGATGGAGTAGAAGGTTATTTTCGAAGATTGATGACGTCCAGCAAGGGAACCAAAATGGAGACTCAGGAATTAGGCTGGATTGCAAGCTGAGTGGGAAGACAACTCCAATTGAGGTTACTGGGGAGTGCTTGCACAGAAGTTGCGGGGGCTGGGTAGGGAGTGGGGGATGCATAGTAGATAGGGGAGCGCTGTGGCAGGAAGACAACCTGCCGCCTTCCCCAGGCAGAGCCCTGCAGAGCAGAGCAGCCAGTGCAGGGTGCCCAGGCTGTCCCACTGTCCCCAGAGAAATGCGTTCCATTTCCCGCTGGTTGCTCAGTCATGGTGCTAAACACCAGTGGGGTGAAGGATTATGAGTGGGAAGGTTGAAGGGGAGCCCCCCTCATCCTTTTGCCACTCTTCCAATCTGGGGAGCCCTCTCCATAACTGTCCTGGCTCCTGACGGTGGGGCGGGGAGTGGGTCAGGGATGGCTCTGCTGCTTTCCTTGAGGCATCTGTTCAGCGCATCCTGCCTCTAGGGGAAGGAATAGGGAGGATTGTAGTATTAGAGAAAGCCTGGGCCTTCCTCTCCCCAACTGCATGTTTAGGGCCCTATAGCTTCTCCTGACAGAGGGTGACTCCCACTGGATGGATTGATCAGGGCTTGGATAATGTATGGTGCCAGGTCATATGGGAGCAGTAGGAACACGGTGCCAGGTTCCCGCCTGACTCAGTGCTTTTCGTGATCTATGACTCAGGTGGGGGCCCTGACACCCCATTTATTGACACCAGCACTGTGATAATCAGGGTGCAAGCAGGTGTGTGACAGCTGTTTCCTTTCTTCTGAAAAGGGAATGGGGAGCAGCTAGGAGACTGAGATCAGAAATCTTGCTCCACCTCTCCTAGCGGCGAGAGCCTGGGCAAGTACTTGCCTTCTCAGCACCGTGGTTTCCTTCTCTCCTGGGCTTGCAAGAGCCATTGTGAGGCATCCAGCACCCAGGGAACACCCGAAAGCACTCAGGAAATTTTCCCTTTCTATGACTTCATAGAGTACTGTCACACAGTTCGGTGAGGTGGGGAGGGGTGCAGCTCTCTGGCTTATTTGTTCCTGGCTCTAGACTGACCTTAGAGTCCTGGGAAGGGGGTGGAAGAAGCTTGAGAATGATACACTCCCCTCACCTCTGCGGAGGGCCTCTTGCCTCCAGCCTTTCCAGCCCCAGGCAAATAGGCAGGGCTAGCAAAGTATTCTTCAGTGCCATATGGGAAATTTTATTTGTATACTCTTGAATTTTCCCATCCAACCCACCCATTCAAGATGATTGTACGATTTCCAGCCTCTGCTTCCATCCGAGGTCTACACAACCTGCGAGCAAGATGTTGGTGTTAGGAGCTAAGAAGGCCTCTAGGAGGCGCTGCTGTGCAGGGAGAGGGCTTAGGGACGGGACATGCAACGTTTGACAGGTTGGAGATAAGGGTTTGGTGAAGGGAAAGCTTCCTTTTCCACTGGACTCCCAAGCCCACCACCCCCTTCCCTTCTTGGGACCTGATTCTCTCTTGGAGGGGCTGGAGTCTTTTTTTTTTTTTTTTTTTTTTTCATGCTAAGGAACTTTTTCAGAGTACATCTTTTTTGAAACATGAATTAATAAAACAAATGGAGAGTTCATTTGGTCTGAGTATGGCAGAGCCCTACTTGACCACATCACCTCCCCCCACATTTAGGAATTCCTAAAGTGCTTACTCAGACTTCTGTGAGACTCCGAGTCATAGCAGTTGTGGCCCCTCCTGAGGCCTCCAGGCAGTGGGAAGGCCTACCTCAGAACTCACACTCCAGGATGTGCCTCTCTTCCCTTGGATCCTGAGAGGCTCCAGCCTCGCCACTAGGCTGGTGTGTGGTCTTGGTCAATGGTTTGCCCCTCTCTGAGCTTCCCTTTCTAGTCATAAAGGTGGGGCCTCCCAGCACTGCCAGCAACAGCCCCCAAGACTGTATTCTAAGGCCTCTGTTTCTGGGCCCAGCTCTGGGCCTGGCTTGAGGCCTGCATCCTCACCCTGTCCTGGCAGTGACTTTATCATACCCTGTATGGATGGTGCATCGGCAGCTCAAGTGATGCAGAGCAGAAACGGGTACAGCAGCGCTTGACTAAGCGCATGGTGGATGGTCTGCACATCACCCGGGGTCCTGGGAGGTGGATTCGCCTGGGCAGCCCCTCAAACCAGTTCCACTGGTCAGCTACCTCCAGCTGCTCCTTGTCCCCTTGGTGGGGCTTCAGGAAGATGACTCCAGGGTCTCCAGTGGGTAGTTGCCTCCCCCAGGCTCCAGGGCAAGTGATCAAGCCATGACCCCCTGATGTCTTTGGGATCTCAGTCTCCATCTGTTCTTCTCCTCCCTCGGGTACTGCTGCACGTGACTGCTGGACCTTTTTCTTCTCCAGCACCCTCACCTTGGACTTCAACTCCTTAGGCTTCCCTAAGTTCTTGGGCTTCAGTTTCTTCTGGGAGCACTTAGCCTCTTGGAGTCCTTCATTATTCTGGCCCATTTTAGTGCGCACAGTGTTGTTCCTGGCAAGGAGAGGAACAGCAGTCAGCAGAGCAGGACTGAGGCCTGGTCCTCTTGCCTGCCCCCGAGGCAGCTGCTGTGCAGCCAGCTCAGGGGAGCCTGTGAAGAAAGCTAGGGCGGGCCTGGAAAGGAACTTCTCTACCACCTGGGGGCAGGGGATGTGGAACCTATTGGCAGCAGGAATGTGACAGGTTGGGAAGGCAAAAGGTTAACAGGTAGGGCGCCTGGGAATATTGACGGACTGCATCGGCCACTGGGTTAGGCTTCTGCCTGTCTGGATTTCACTTGATGGGGTGAACTAGTCCAATGTTTTGTTTTGTTTTCAGATCATGTTCCAAGAAACCCGAGGGTTCTGAGGAATTCCTCTCGTAGCCCCCAGTGGCAGGGTGAAGGCAGGAGACCTTCCCTCCCAACAACACAATTGGGGCTTGGGGACAGATTTTGAAGAGAGGTTCTGCTGCTTTAAAAGGGTTGGAAAGCAATGGGGCTAGAATAGATGATCCTGACCCCCCGGCTCAGTGTTTCCTGATTACCTGCATCTAGGAAGGCAACAGAGAGAGGAGCCCAGAGAGGTGGAGTTATGCAGAGGTATTAAATGCTGGCAGGGGTGTGTCTGTCATAGATTGGGTCCCCTGCAAAGTGGCAGCACAGTCCTGAGTGTGTGAGGAGGGGCGAGGCCTTGGGCTCAAGATAAAGACAATGCTGATGATGATAATGGCCAGTGTTGGTTGAGTGCCCACTATGTGTGAGGCACTCACAGTGGGGGGCAGTGAAGCAGCAGAGTGGCTTGGAGAGCAAAGGCTTTTGGGGGAGAAGCTGGGAGCAAATTCGCTTCTGCCTCTTACCATCTATGTGATTTGAGGCAAGAAATGTAACCTCTCAGAACCTTAGTTTCCTCACCATCACAGTGGGATAATTTTGTCTACCTATAGAACTGTTGTGAAGAATAAACTAAATGGAAAAATGCTTGTAAAGTACTTAGCATAGTACCTGGCACTTACCAGAGGACTGAAAAATGTAAGATTTCTTAATATTCTGATGCATCTGATGAGGAAACAGCCCCAGCAGGATGTCTAGTCTACAGGTGAATGTTGGGGTTGTGTTGACCTGAGAGGGGTGCCCATCGTGCTCAGTACCCCAGATGGTAGTTAGTCCCATAATTGCATGGTTATGATCACAACTCTGATAATAGACAAGAATGGCTTTAAATCCTAGCTCTGCCACTTACCGGGTCAGATAACTGGGACAAGTCATTTCATCTGATCCTCGGCTTTTTATTAGTAAAATAGAGGTCATAAATACCTTCCTCCAGGAGCCTTTGTGAAAATTGGTTTTTCTAAATTCCTTAGCACAATGTCTGTTCCTAGCAGAGATAGCTGTTGGATCCATGTGGGGCCGTGGGTGGACTGAGCTCACCTGGAGGAGGTCTGGAGGATCTTCCGAACGTTGAGCAGTGAATTCCAACACCTTCTGGCCAGGCCATATAGTTCTTGGATCCGAGGGTTTGAATTCTTGAGTATCCTCAAGAGTGACAAGTTTTTTAACACCTGCCAGAGTTGAGAAACCAGAAAAACAGATGTTTCACTCCTCATCCAGACTTTGGCTCAGCTCAGCCTGGCAACTCGTTCTGGTCACTTAACTATGACAACCAGAAGCAGAAATGCATGGGTGTCCAGGCTCTTCTCTGCTGGGACCAAAATGGGCCTCTTACCATTCTAAGTTGGTTCTGCTCAGTTAATTTGCTGATAGGCTGCTGTATCTTGTCACGTGGTTTCTCATCTTGCATCTGAGAGAAAGAGAGAGGGAACGCTAACACGGAAAAACCCCATCCCTAAATGCCTCCATTATACCTCTCCATCTGGCTCAGCATGATTTGAGTAACCCCAGACTCAGAGTTTTAACCTCTGTTTGGGGGCAGAACTAGGGAGACCATTCCAACTCCTGATTTCCCTTCACCCCTCAGCGCTCCCTTTCCCTCCACCTGCCATGGTGTGATTAGAATCTGTGTAAGGACCCTTCTAGATCCAGTCCCTAGTCCAACCTTGAAAACCACACCATTCTGGGGCTTCTTCTTTGCTGATGGACTCATGCTGGGGCTGTGATGCCTCAAAGACAACAGATGGAGCAAAACAGGTACCAGGTACTGCCTGAGCCCTGCCCCTCTAAGTTCAGCCAGTACCCAGGCTGGGCATTAGGATGGTCGTGCTGCATCTCTCAGGGAGGGGAGCTGTGACATCACTGAAATGTGTGACAACAGGGCTGGGTCTCCAAGGAGTGTGTGTGGCAGGGGTGAGGGTAAGGAAGAAACACTCACCTGCAGAGAAACCTGGTAGGTGACAGGCAGAGGTGTATATTGTTACCACCTTCCTGTGAGGTAAGAGAATTATCCCCTCTTTTTAAATGAAAAAGCCAAGGTTCAAAGAGGTTAAATAATTTACTCAATGTCATTCAGTTGAATAAAGGTGGAACTGGAAACCTAAGGTTTGACAGTCTACCCTTGAAATCCAGGCTTCCCAACTATGCTCATCTATTCATTCATGTCACATGTGTTAACTGTACCCTGGCTACATGTCAGGTGTTTTAGGTACTGGAATAAAAGAAAATTCCTACCCTTAAGGAACTGACATTTCAATAGAGGGCAAACAAAACAGCGTGTATTCCTATAAATGTTCAATCACTGGCTCTCTAAAACAAAATGTGTGTGTGTGTGTGTGTGTATGTGTGTGTGAGAGAGAGAAATTTTACTGATAAGACATCTACAATAATGAAATTTGATAATACTTTTTATTGTAAATTCCATATAGTCAGTTGATTCTTACAGTACACTTTTCTTGACTTATGCTTAACTCTCCTATCCATAATCAACCTATGGTTCTAATCTATGGTTGCAACAAGTGTAGTTCCAACACGAATGTTGATATTTTCATTTACACTAGGAGTATGAAAAGTGAAAAAATGAAAAAACAATGATGTTGGAATTCTACCCAATCATTAATGACATGATCAACTTATTTGCTGTATTGGATTATAGTTTTCAAATACTGGAAGTATATTTTCTCATTTTGGGGAGTGTGTGTAACAGCTATAGACAGGACACATGCTTATATTGAATCTGCATTATCAACATTTCCATTACTTTCTTAAGACTAGACCAGGGGTTGGGGAAATTTCTTCTATAAAGGCCACATAGTTGTAACTGCTCAGCTCTGCTATTGTAATGTGAAAGCAGCCATATGTAATATGTAAATGAATGGGCAAAGCTGTGTTGCAATAAAACTTTACTTACAAAAGTAGTTGATGAGCTGGATTTGACCCATGCAAACTTCTGGTCTAGACATCAACAAAGCAATCAAACCTGATTTATCATGTTACCTATGTTTGTGGTGGAAATACACCTTCCACCGCTGATTTTAAGCTACCAATGTGATGTCACTGAAAGCAGAGTTGAACCGAAATGGAGAGTACCGTTATATATTACATATTTCTACAGATGTAAAGACTCTCAAGATCATAGATAATAGTAAAAGGCAGTAAAAAACTACAAAGTGGTGAGTTTAAGCATTTTCACATTTGCTTTTAATATCATTAATTAAGCTTGTATGATTTAATTTTTAATAATGGCTATATTTAACAACCAGCCAGCAGAGTTCCTGAAAATGTAATAGGCTTTTGTGGCCCCTAATGAGTCAGTTCCAGCACGCTACTATTCTGTCAGATGGAAATAAGTGTGTGGAGGAAATTAAACAGGGCAGAGTGGATAGGAGAGCAGAGGTAGAAGGTTTGCTGTATTAAAAAGGTGGGATGGGAAAGATTCACCAATAAGATGAGATTTGTGAAGAGACCTGAGGGAGGTAAGAGAAGCAGAAAGTAGCAGTGGCAGGAGATGAGGGCAGAGGGGAAGCTGCGGTGAAGGGTTGGGACAGATCATAGGAGACTTTAATTTAAACTCCACTGCTTTGAATAATCTGCCTGGCTGGCTGCATCAGAATAGTCAGCTTCTCAGGTATCACCCATGGAGTTGGCCAAGTATGGGAATCACTTCACAGCTTCTAGGGCAGAGAAGTGTGCATACATAGGGAGTGCTTAGCTCCATCTTTTAGGAACAGTGAAGCAAGCCTAGATTGCACACAGCTTCTCACTTGTGAATGTCCTTTATCATTAGGGTGAAGAATGGGAGGGGGAGCAGTGTGTGAGTGGCCCGGAGAAGAAACCGGGAGGTGACTTGGAAGGGAAGACACAGAGGATAGCCTCTCTTCTCCCTCCTGTCTACCCAGTTCTCCTCGGCCCCTTTGCCTGCTCTGGCATCCCTCTCCTTACTGGTACAACTTCAACTCGCATCAACTGGATTCTACTGGACTCCGTGGGCTTCACTAGAATCATCTACATCTGCCATTCAGCCACCAGGTGTTAAGGGCTGGGGACCCACTGTGCATTAGGCGCCAAGGACAGCAACATTAGAGGCAGAACATACTTCTTCTGCCCTCAAGAAGCTCACAGGCCCAGGGTAGAGGCACCTCTAGAATAGAGGATCCTCAAGGGCAGGGCTCTTTTTCTGTTCAATTCATTGATAAAACCCCAATGTCTGGCAGATAATAGGTACCGTGTTTCCCCAAAATAAGACATCCTCTGAAAATAAGACCTAGCACATGGAAAGATAAGACATCCCCTGAAAATAAGACCTAGCGCAACTTTGGGAGAAAAAATTAATATAAGATACTGTCTTATTTTCAGGGAAACAGGGTACCAATGAGTATTCTTTGGAAAAGTGAAAGAAACAGTATTATCTCTGCCAAAGGTAATCCCGTGGGTTGTTGGAACACCGAGGACCAGCCTGAGGTGGTCGGGGAATTCTCTGTAGAGTTGGTGCTAAGGAATGAAGGAGGCGGAGAAGTTGGCCAGGCAGAGGGGTGTGAGGTGGGTAGGTCATTCTCAAAAGGGAATTTTAAAAGTACAGGTGTGATAAGGGATTATGAACAGTTATATGCTGTAGAGAGCTAGGGCCAAGAATGGCAGTGGCTGAAACTGGAGAAGTGTACTTGACCACCAGCTGCTGAGTTTGTTCTGAGGGTCCAGAGGGCCTTGATGGGGCTTGGGCCACTGAGTCAAGGGGTTGGATTCGGCACTGAGAGCCAGGTCCAGGTGCCTGTGCCATTCTGTTCTAGTCCCTCACATGCTTCTCTCTCTTCAGCTGTGCCTACTTAGGGAGTTCATCTCCATAGGGTCAGGGAGATCTCTACCACCAGACTTTGTACCCCAGACATGGCTCCCAAAGCTATTTTCCATATTCCATCGTTTGGTCCTTCCATTGACTTGGGAAAAACCATTTTGCAGAGAGAGACTTATCCAGTGACACACAGCTGGCAAGCCTGCGGACTAACTCCAAGGCTTTTGTGTGGAAAAGCACCACTGTTCCCCCCACCCCGCTTAGTTGTGGTTAAGCTGTGTTAAGTACATTCACATTGTTGTGCAACCATCACCACCATCCGTCTTCAGAACTCTCTTCATCTTCAAAACTGACAATACCCATTAAACAACTCTCCATTTTTCCCTTCCCCAGCCACTGCAACCACCCTTCTACTTTCTATCTCTATGAAGCTGACTGTTTTATGTATCTATGTAAGTATATTTGTACAATATTTGTTCTTTTGTGACTGGCTTGTTTCACTTAGCATAATGTCCTCAAGGTTCATCTATGTTATAGCATGGGCTAGAATTCCCTTTTTAAAAAATCAATTTGAGAGAGAGAAACATCAATCACTTGTCTTTTGTTTTGGAGATGGGGGGAGGGGAGGTGAAGGAAGATGGGGGAGGGAAAGGGAGGGGAGGAGAAATATGGATGTGAGAGAAACATCAATTGGTTGCCTTCGGTACCAGTCCTGATGGGATCAAACCCACAACCCAGGCATGCGCCCTGACCTGGAATCATACCTGCAACCTCTTGGTGCATGAGATGAAGCTCCAACCAACTGAGCTACTGTGGCCAGGCACACCTATAATCTCCTAAGGGGTCTTTTACCTGTCGAATAGTACCCTGAAGCATTGCCTTAAATCTTTTTGCAATGTAAACAAAAGGTTTTGTAGTCACATTCTCAGTTTCATTTTGGACCATGTTTTCTTGTTTGTTTTTTGCATTGTCGTGGATTTGAGCTTTAGAAGAAAACCATTTCTTAATTTTACCATCATTTGCCATTTGGAGAGGTTGAGAATTTTCTGCCATGAAGTCCTGGTTCCTTTATACTTAACTGTCTTTTATTTAGTTCAGGGTTTCTCAACCTCAGCACTGTTGACATTTGGGGCAGGATAATTCTTTGATGTGGGAAGAGGGTTTGTCTTGTGCATTGTAGAATATTTAAGTATCCCTGGCCTCCACTAAATAGAAGCCAGTAGCAACCTCTAGTTTTGACAAGCAAAAATGTCTTCAGACATCGCCCAGTGTCCTCCAGGAGGCAACATTGCTCTCATTTGAGAACTGCTGTCATTTCTCTGTCTCCAGTTGCATTTACTCTAAGCAGCAAGAAGAGATCGGGTGGCATCTTCAGCACTTTACTTGGAAATGTCCTTAGCTAAGTCACTCACCTCATTAAGTACATTCCTGCTTTCTACTTTACTGCTACAGGGCTGCTACACTTTATGCCACAACATAAGAATTCTTCCCCAGTTTCCAATAGTATTTATTTCACTTTCCTCTATGCCCTGACTACAACCATATCAAAGGACTGAGGCCTCTGTAACAGCTTTTTCAATGCACTTCAGTTTTTTGTTTTGTTTTGTTTAACTATATTTTATTGATTTTTTACAGAGAGGAAGAGAGAGAGATAGAGAACTAGAAATGTCGATGAGAGAGAAACATTGACCAGCTGCCTCTTGCACACCCCCTACCCAGGATGTGCCTACAACCAATGCCCTTGACCGGAATCGAACCTGGGACCTTTCAGTCCGCAGACTGACACTCTACCACTGAGCCAAACCGGCTTCGGCGCACTTTTGGTTTTTATTACACTCTTAACTTCTATTGCCCAATTCTAATGCCACTCCCATACTTTAGAGCAGTGGTTGCCAACCTTTCGGACCTCATGGATGGACTACCAGTTGGCAACTGGTGCTTTAGAGCGACAGCAGCCCTCTACCCCAGGACCCAAGTCTCTATGTTATATATTGCTACATAGCAAATTATCCCCAAAGTTAGCAGTTTAAAACAATAAATATTTATGACCTCAAAGGTTTGGAGCATCAGGACCCCTGGAATGCTCTAGCTCAGTGATCGGCAAATTGCGGCTTGCGAGCCACATGAGGCTCTTTGGCCCCTTGAGTGTGGCTCTTCCACAAAATACCACGTGTGGGCTCGCATATACAGTGCGATTGAAACTTCGTGGCTCATGTGCAGAAATCGGTTGAGTCTATTTTGAAGAAGTGGCGTTAGAACACTCAAGGGGCCAAAGAGCCGCATGTGGCTCGCCAGCCTCGGTTTGCTGACCACTGCTCTGGCTGAATGCTCAACCTCAGTTTCTCACGAGGTGGCAGTCAAGCTGCTGGCCAGGGCGGCATCATCTCAAGGCTCTATGAGGCCGATGAACCTGTTCCCATGCTCACTCATGTGGTTGCTGGCAGGCCTCCGTTCTCCTCTGGCTGCTGGCTGGAATCTTCAGTTCCTTGCCAAGTTGGCCTCTTTGTGGGGCTATTGACAACATAGTAGCTTGGTTCCCTGAGAGTGAACCAAGCATAGACAGCACACTCAAGATGGAAGCAGTGGTCTTTAAAAAAAAAAATTAATCTTAATTTTGGAAGAGATATAGACCGTCAATTCTGCCGTGTCTTATTGGTCACAAAGAGTAACCGTGATACAGTATAGAAGAGAACTGTAAAAGGTCTGAATGAATAGAACGCAATGAACATTGGGAGCTCTTAGGGCTAGCGACTGCATTTCAATTTTATTCAAGATATTATTCTAATTTCCTTTCCACTTCATCTTTGACTCAGGGAATATTTTGAAGTGTTATGTTTCATTACTAAGTGTTGTGCTATTTTCCAGGTAACTTTGTTATTAATTATATTTTGATTTTTTTATAGTCATAAAGCATGTTTTGTATGATTTAAATTCTTTTAAATTTGTTACGCTCTGTTGTTGTTTTGGCCCAGAATATGATGTGTCTTGAATGTTTGTGGGCAGTTGAAAAGATCAGGTTTTCTATAGCATTCATTTTTTAACTGTATTATAGATTTTTATTTTTTATTTTACATCTATTGGTCAATGTATTTTTGAAGCTCTGTTTTTAGATGTATACACATTTATGACTGTTAAGTCATCTTAGTGAATTAACCCTTTTATCATTATGTAATGTCCCTCTTCGTCCCCAGTAATTGTCCTTCATTTGAAGTCTACTTTTTGACACTCCAATTTGCTTTGATTAGTGTTTGTATGGTATATCTTATTTCATCTATTTACTTTTAACTCATATATTTCTTTATAGTTAAATTGAGTTTCTTGTAAACAGTATATTATTGCCTCTTGCTTTTATTCCCTCAATTTAGTAATCAGTCTCTTAATTGGTTGTCACTACATTTGGATTAAAATATTCCATCTTACTGTTTTATATATATATATATATATATATATATATATATATATTTTTTTTTTAAATGTATATTTTATTTATTTTTTACAGAGAGGAAGTGAGAGGGATACAGTCTATTACTTTTAAGGTGATTAAAAACAGAAAAATGTTTTATTCCATTCATTTCCAGAGATCTTCATTTCAATATGTAGATCCAGGTTTCTTTTTAGTATCATATTCTTTCTGCCTCCAGAACTTCATTTACTGTTTCTTATAGTGCTAACCTGCTGGTAGTGAATTTTATTTTTGTGCATCTGAAAAAAGTGTTTGTGTACCCAAGTTTGAAACATATTTTTGCTGGATATAGAATTCTGGGTTGACAGTTTTTTTCTTTCAGTATTTTAAAGATATCATTCTATTGTCTTATGGTCCTATAACTTCTAATCATATAACTTCTCTGATAAGAAGTGTGCTTTAATTCTTATCTTTGGTCCTCTGTAGGTAGTGTGTCTTTTTTCTCTAGATGCCTTCATGATTTTATCTTTGGTTTTCAATAATTTGAATATATAATAGATAGGTCATAGTGTGTGTGTGTGTGTGTGTGTGTGTGTGTGTGTGTGTGTATTTTTATCTGTATCTCTTCTGGGATTCAAACTATACATTTATTAGCTCTTGGATGTTCTGTTTTGTTTTGCGTTACTCTTTTTCTTTTTCTATTTCATTTGGGTGGTCTCTGTTGACCTATCTTCAAGTTCATGGTTTCGGCATATGACTCTTTTTTTTATAGTCTCCATCTCTGCTAAAATTCCCCTTCTGTTTATGCATGTTGTCCACATTTTCCAACAGTCTTTCACATATTGTTATAATTGTTTTAAATTCTCTTTCAGATAACTCCAGAGAGTTATCTGGGTCTTCAGTCTGGTTCTGTTGATTACTTTGTTTCTTGACAATAGGGCTTTTTGTTTTTTGTTTGTTTTGTAAAGTTGCTTTTTGTATATGTGTTGTAATTTTTATTGATTTCTGGACATAATGTATAGAACAATAGAGACTGAGGACAAATTGTTTATACCTATAAATTGCCATCTCTTTTTAAGCCATTAGTGTTGAGGACTGAGTAAATTTTGTTAAGAGTTGAACTATGTATGGGTTTTATTGTTTCCATGATTACTTTTAACATCTGCAGACTCCCCCTCTCATCTAGCCACACTGGGCCTTTAGTAATTCAATAAAAACTGTAGCTGAACTCTCCTTACTTGCTTGTGTAGAGAACTTGTCTTCCTCCTGCCTCATAAGTATGCCAGTGTCTGCATCCCATTTCTTCTTGGAGGCTCCTGTCCTTCTTTGGAATTCAGGTTAATTGGTTGCTCTGAAACCTCAGCTCTCTGATGGTTTCAATAAAAGTTATAATTTTATAGATTACCTAACAATTAAAAAAAAAACTATTAGCGTGATAATGATGTTCTTCCCAGTTTTCTGCATCCTAAATGGAAGCCAGGAATCTAAGCCGTCTGCTTTTTCACTGCTCCTTTCAACTTCCTTTGCCATCCACTCCTAGGCCCACTGCCTGAGTCTTTCTCTTGGCTGATGCTTTTCCAGCATAGCCACCTGAATTATTTCTAGCTTGGTTGTTTTCTTTCCCCTTAACCCTTTCATCTGGCAAATGCCTGGCAAAAAGAAGGGACAGAAGTTCCTGATCTGCCACTATCTTGTGGACAGCTCAAAATAATCCATGGAGTCCTGTTCCTAGGGATGAGCCTGAAAAGGGGGAAGATGACTTGGTGAACTGAGTTTTCATCCACTGTACTCCTGACTTATCTCTTTGTGCTAGGAAATGGGACCAAGTATCTACTCCATCCATTAATGAGAAGTAAGAATCAACTGACCAAAACATTCCCTGGAAGATGAAAACTGTAACAGGGTTAAAGAGGAACAAGCTGGGAGCAGTGCTTATAAGCACAGCCTCTGGAGGCAGTCAACCTGGGTTCAAATTCCAGCTCCATCACTTGCTAGCTGTATGGCCTTAGACAAGTCCCTTCACTTCTCTGCATCCTAATTTCTGTGTCTGTAAAATGGAAATAATAATAATAATACCTCGAAAGATTGTTAAGAGGATTAAAAGAGTTAATATACACAAAGTACTTATAATAGTGAGGGGTGCATAACAAGCTCTGTAGAAGTATTAACTGTTAAGGCATACTTCTCTAATTCCAGAAATTCGTGGAAGAAAACAGTTTCTTCCCTCTCTTAGGACCCATTGCAATCAAAATAGCTAGTTTATTGAGCACCTCCAAAGTACCCAAGTCCTGTACAAAGTATTTTACATGAATTATCTCATAAGGTAGAGATTAATTATTCTTATCTAATAGGCAAGGAAATACAGGATCAGAGAATTAACTGTTTTCACAGCTGGCTTGACACAGAGCCAGGTTTACAACCCAAGAGGGTCTGACCACCATGCCTGTGTTCTTAACCACTGCACTTGTTTCTTCCCACAAACTAGTTTCCTTGCTTGCAAAATAGTGGGAAAGCTGCTTGCTGTATTTCTCTCACAGACTTGTTTTGAGATTCTAATAACAATAGAAGAAGCAGTGCTTTAGGTATTTGTACAGAGTGCTGGTGCCCTGACTTGGAAACATGAATTTTCACTTCCATTCTTTCCCCCCTCACCTCTGCTTGTTGAACTAATTTATTCAAAACTCAGCTCGGATATCAGGCCTAGATATTATCCTGACCACAGAGGGACTTAAGCCGAGGGTAGCATGTCAGACTTACCTGTTGAAATGATGACTGACTGCTGTGTGGGAATGGAGTGTAACAGGGTCAGAGGAAGTAAAGAAAAACCAGCCAGAAAGCTGGTGTAGGAGCCACGGGAGAGATGATGGTGGAAACTGAGAGGAATGGTGGGTGGGAAAGATATTTGGGAAAGAGAATCGACAGGAAATGAACATGTATTTTAATGAGGGCAGCGAAGGACAGGCGACTAGGACGAGTCCCAGTTCTTGGCTTGCTCAAAGATGTTCGTGGAATGATCAAGTGACCCGACCTCAGAAGCATCCCCAACAGACGCCTGCCTGCCCCGCTCCCCCGGGGAGGAGGGGGCTTCTGGAGCTAGGAGCACCAGAGGATGGGTGAAAGGGAGGAGGGAGAGAACGGGCACAGTCTCTCTGCCCGGCTACTGCAAGGACACGTAGGCGCTGCGTGGGAGCAAGCTTTTCTCCTCTCCGCCCGCAGTTTGCACCTCTCCCTCCCACCCCGCCAGCCCCAGCGTGCAGCGCCCCCCTTAGCAACCCACAGGCGTTGGCTAGCCGCCGGCGTCGGGGGGTGCGGCGCGGAGGCCCATCCTCTAGTCCTGACCCGCCCCGTCCTGGCGCCCACCCCGCCCAGTGTGCTGGAAGGCTGGGCGTTGGTTCTGCCCAGTGCCGGACCCTGGAACCGGGCTGCCTGGTGAGTCCTAGGGGCAGGGGGTCCTACGCCCCGCTGCACCTGCCTGGGATGGGCGCGCTGGGTCATCGCCCTTCCCCTCCGGCCCGCGCCCCTTTCAGATAGATGTGCGCGCATCAGCGTGCGAGTTCGGCCGAGGGCGCCGGAGTGCGGGTTCGGGGTGCGGGTTCGCGCCGGTTGCTTCGGGAGTCGGGGAGCAGCACGTGTGCGTGAGCCGGGGGCCCGGAGCCGCGCGTGCCCCGGTGCGTGCTCCCGCGGCGGCGGGTGCGGCTGGTGGAGCGGAGCGTGCGGAGCCCCGCGCTGCGGCGGCGGCGGCGGCCGGAGCGCGGAGGAGGCGGGCTGGGCGCGGGGAGGGAGGATGCGGGGCGGGAACTTTCCGCCTGGCCTGGGAGTCCGAGCCTTCGCGCCCGAAGGGGCTCCCCGCGACCGCCGGGCGGGAGGCGAGCGCGGGTGCCCGCCGCCCCTCCCCCACTTCCGCCGCCCGCCGCTTCCTCGTTCCCGGCGCCCGGGGCCCGGGCGTCCCGGGGGAGCCGGGCGGCGCGGCCCCACCCCGGCCGGCGCTCCCGCTCCCACGCCCCCGCCGCCGGCCCGCCGGGGCGGACGGACTGAGTCAGCGGGCGCCGGCGGCAGGTAGGGGTGCGCGGCGGCGGCGCAGGTGCTGCGGGGGCCGGCGTGTGTGGCGGGAGGACGCGAGCCCGGGCGGCCCGGCCCCGGGAGGGGCCTCCGTCTCCCCCCTCCCTTCCCCGCGGACCGGGCTCGTCCCTTTTTAGGGAATTCTGCTCTCTGACCACAGTGCGGGTGGGGCCGGCGGGGCGCGCTCCTTTCCGCCGGTCTCCAGCCGGGCCCCTGGCAGCCTCCTGCCCCCAAATCTCTTCACCCCTCTCCCCGCAGCTTTATGGGGTAAACACCTCCCTTCTCTCCGGCACTGGGCTCTGCGGGCCCCCCCGCCCCCCTCTCCGACCCCCCCTCCGTCTCCTGAGATCGATGGGGCTGGGGGAGGGACAAAAGAGGGGGCGCTCGGAGCCCCTGGTCCCTGTCATTTCCTACCCTCTTCCTTGCCCTCCCCCAACCGCTGCGAAAGCTATCAGCCTCAGGGGCCCGGGTATTTTTAGCGTTGTGACCTGGGCCGCAGATCTGAGCCTTTCCCAGGAATCAGCGGCAGCGCCTTCCTCCTCCACGGCCAGCCCAGCCCGCGGCCACAAGGTCTCCGCACACTTCCTGGGCCCTGCCTGGTCCTCTGGGTTTGAGTCCCTCTCTGCCAGCCCAGCGCTTGTTGAGCTGACCAGGGTCTTGGATTTGCTTGAATACAGATGAGGCGGGAGGTTGTCTGCGGAGGCGGGTGATCTGGTCCTCAGGTTAGACACTACTCGTTTGCCTCTGGCCAGGGGCTCTGAGCTGAAGGCCTGGAAGGAGATTGAGCGAATGCGAGTGCATGTATAGGGCCTGGGCTGGCCCAGAGCTCTGGTGTTCCAGAAAGCTCTCCGCACTGGGGGCTTGGTCTGAATTGGACCCAGGACCTGCCCTTCCCATTGCTGCTCACTGACTAGTGGGACGACAACAGTGAGATGTGTCGGTGGAGACATCAGTGCAAATAAGAGCTGTGGGGGTGCAGAGCGAGCTTTGCATGTCACAGAGCACTCACAGGCAGTGTCTTGTGTTTGAGGCTGGTAGGATGATTGTACCATTTTCCAAGCGGGGGCTGAGCTGGAAAGATGATGTCCTTAGGCAAAGAGCCAAGTCTGGAAGTCAGGCCTTTGATTTCAGAGCAGGGTAGGGAGGGAATGGAGCTGCAAGTGAAGAGGTATGTGAGCGTAGAGCGAGAGAGAGAAGGGGAGGGGGCACTTTAACTTTTGTCTGGGTTTTGGAGAATGGGCAGGAACCACACCACTGGAGGAAGAGGACCTTCCACCCTGAGGACCTTTCACTCTGTCCTATTGCCTTCCCTGGGCTCGGAGGACAGGCGGGTGGAGGGAGGAGTGGATAAAATGCCCCCCGTATTTGGGGATGGCATGGCTCTGAGACTTGGCCATTGGCCCCCGTCCATCCCCTGAACACAGAGGAGCCTCTCTGGCTGTGCCTGGGACTGGCATCCCCTTTGTGGAGCTAGGTCAGCCCCGCCTTTGTATGAGGCTGGAAGTTTGTGGTAATGGACTCTGCTTTAGGGAAAGGGAAGCAGGAAGCCACATCCAGCGGTGCTGGGCTGGAACCAGAGGTCCCTCTGTTGGGATGCTGGCTGCAGTGGGACTCCCTAAGCTCAAGTCCCCACTGCATTATCACTCGATTTCATAGCTCCGTCTTCTGCCTCCAGGAGCTGACATGGACCCAAACCCTCGGGCATCTCTAGAGCGCCAGCAGCTCCGTTTGCGGGAGCGGCAGAAATTCTTTGAGGACATTTTACAGCCAGAGACAGAGTTTGTCTTCCCTCTGTCCCACCTACATCTCGAGGCACAGAGACGTAAGTCCTGGGGAGAAGGACTGGAATAGGGAGCAAGTCGTATAGATCCAGAATCCCGGGGGCCCCTCCCCTCTTATTTTCTTGTTCCTCTGAACTTCTGTCTCTGGACCTGACATATCTCTGGCCATCCTCTTGGCTCTCTCCAGCCTGGGTCCTCCTGACTTGTCCCCTTCTTGATCTGCAGCCCCCATCGGTAGCATTTCCTCCATGGAAGTGAATGTGGACACACTGGAGCAAGTGGAACTCATTGACCTTGGGGACCAGGATGGAGCAGACGTGTTCTTGCCTTGTGAAGATCCTCCATCAACCCCCCAGACGTCGGGTATGCTACTGTGCTGAGCCGTGGGCACCAGTTAGCCGGAGCCGGATGTTGGGGCTCTGAAGCATGAGGACAAGACTGGGGAAGTATGCCCGTAGGGGCTGGAAGGGGCGTTTCCACCAGTGAAATAGCTGTCTGTTCTGATTTTAGGGAAGTTGACCGGAAGGACAGCTGTGTTGCAGATCCCCAATCCAAAACTCTAGGAATGCCAACCCCCACTTAGCCTTGTTAATTTTATATTTGTAAAATTAATATAATTAAAATTATGTAAAAATGGAGTTTTTAGAGAACTTAAGCAGTTTTAGGTCATCCTAATACTATGGTATTTATTGAGCCCTTTATTAAGTTTCTAATACTGTGTTAAAATGCTTCACATACATTATCTCAATCCTTACAAATGTCTTATTAGAGAAGGTAGTATTATCTCCATTTTATAAGGAAGGATATTAGACTCAGAGAAGTTTCACACAGTCAGAAAGTAGAAAAGCGAGGTCCAGACCATGGCTCTCTGACTCCAAAGCCCATTTACTTAACTTATTAATCGCTAGCCTATTACTATGTGCCAGACATTTTATAAGCATTATTATATTTCATACTTAAAACTCTACTGGACTGGAGGAATCCCTTTTTTTTTTTTTACAGAGAAGGAGCAGAGTCTTTGAGAGGAAAAGCGACTTTCCCAAAGCCACTAACTAAGCAAATAAGTGATATAGGTAGAACTTGAAATCCTAAATTGATTGACTTGACTCTAGAGCCCAGGTGTGATCCCAGAAGTGGAAGGGGGTGGGAGTCAGGAGACCTGGCTCTTCACTGGACTAAGTGGCTTTGGACAAGTCCCTGTCCCGGCTTCAGTCTCTCTGACCAGGCCATCCCTGAGAGTCCTCGAAGCCCTGTTTGTGGTCCTGACCAGCTCTTGTCTCTGGGCAGGGGTGGACGACCATCCAGAGGAGCTGCGCCTGCCGATGCAAACGCCGGACAGAACCACATCCCGCACTTCCTCCTCCTCTTCTGACTCCTCCACCAACCTGCACAGCCCAAATCCCAGTGTGGGCGGAGCAGACACACCCTTGGCACAGTCTGACGAGGAGGATGGGGATGAGGGAGGGGCAGAGCCTGGAGCCTCCAGCTAGCAGTGGGGCCGGACGTATGGACTGACTGAGCTGGCTGTTCTCCACCTGAGACCCTGGGCCCAGCCAGAGCTCTTTGGGAAGACAGACTCTGCTTGTGGTAGGCACCAGAGGGAGGAAAGAGGTGGGGTGGTGTCTCTCCTTGGAGTTAACTCTCTGTTGTTTTACTGCTAACCTTTTCCTGCTGCAACGTTCCCACTAGTGCTTGGCTTACTCCTGAGGTAGAGCTTGCGAGCAACGAGATGGAGATGAGGTCGGACAAGATGCCATTGCTTTCCTTAGCACTCCTTCTCCCCCAGCTGCCCTGGCAGACTTCTAACAGAGTCTCCTGCACCGGTGTCTCCAAAGGGACATGAACTCTTTAGCACCAAGTGAGGTGGTACTCCAGCCACCCTGCTTCCTTATGTCCTTTTTTTGGAATAGGGCATGGTATAAATA